TAAATTGAAGGTCGCAATCTAAAACGAACATGAATATGTAGATTGAGACGAATATAAATAAGGAGATGGAGACGAATACGACGACGCATACGATACGCATACAAAGACAACTATGAAGATAAATATGAAGACGAGTACAGAAACAAAGATAAGGACGGTAAGGAAAAGAAAGAAAGAGGAAGATCAAGAGAAGGACGAAGACGGCTAGAAACGGATAAGTAGTTGAGGAATGAACGCAGTTAAATACGAAGGCGAATGCGACGTCACATAGGAAGCCGGAATGGACACCGAGGCTAAGACTAAATCTGCTCGAAAACTATGGTGAAGACGAAAAGGAATATGAATTTAAATAAATACATAAATTGTTTTCGCATTAACCGTTTGACTTAGCTTTTCTACTAAAAATCCTCAAATGGCCGAAAAAACATCTCATAAAAGCCATTTGCTCTTCGGTGACGGCATAGAAAGTTGGTTTCCCATTTGTGTCTTAACTCCAAGACGCACACCGCAAACCGGAGATAAAGTTTGATTAGGCACTTAGCAAATATATGGGCAACGAATACTTAATTTTTTATCTTTAAAGGAACTCGCTAACCGATTTCTATAATACTTTTTTTTAAAGGAAAGTTGGTACCTCAGAGGTGGTCCAAACTATACTATCCGATGATGAATACATTAACGTTACCTTTAAATTTGAATATGGGAATTGAAGTCGATTTTGTGTTTTTGCTTAAAAATTACTTGTTGTCTAAAGTCTTTCTTCCTCTAACTTTCGTTTTTCACTTTCTTAAGGTCGCTTAAGTATTACTTGTACTAAATATATTGTTTTTTTACGCTCGTGTAACTTACATTTTTCTTGTTAATTTATTTTCATCCTTTTCGCTCTCTTACACCAAAAGAAAAGCAAACCTTACTATGTTTGTAAGTGATAACATTAATTTCATACTCGTTTTGTCCATCCCGAAATAACTATTTGCGCACCTTTGTTTGCCATATTGGATGTTTTTTTTTTTGTTGTTTCTTTTATGTGTGTTGTTCTTACTATTCCGGCAAGGTAGCCTTCTCACTTTTTCAATCCTTTATTTATATCTTAGTGTTTTCCTCTCTGCCATTCTGTTCATTATAATTGATTTTACAATTTAAAATTAACACAGCAAGTGGAAGGCAGGCGAGCTACGGCAAGTTGGTTCAAAAGAGCCGGACTATCTCATCTAACTTTAGAAACTCAATGGACTTAAACAAGCATACAGACTGCCCCAAAATATTGGGTTTTTATTTTATTAGTATTAGGTATGTGTTTGTATATCTCACACCAAGCCATGCGGACAATGCTTTTGCCGTCAGTGTGTGGCCCATTACTTTGTCTTTCCAACTGGACTCCGTTAGCTGAACCCGACAAATCGTCCACCTTATACTGCTTGCCAATTGTGTAATTTTAGTGTTTATTTGTTTCTTTTTCGTGACAATAATGGTAATGATGCAACAACAATGACTAAGAAAAACAATGTCAATGGTCAATGTGCGACGCATAATTTTTTATTTGACTACAATTCTTACTTTTTACTACATACATTGCGCCCACCGTTGTTGGAATGTTGGCGCGTGTTACGCGTGTAAACAAAGTTCTGAAACTCCCTAATTCTTTTATTTGTATTTTGGGAAATTACGAAGGCTCAAAATAGGCTGTTATTTTTTATGATACGCAAATTGTGTATCGAATTATACGCCCTAAGTTGTTTGGTTGTCTAATAATAAAGCAATTGGTAGCTTTCTAAGTTTGCTTTTTTTTTTAAGAATGCTTTAAAGCAGAAAACTTACATCAAATTTTGTATTGAGAAGCATCAGTACTCCGAAACGAATGAAAGAAATTTAAAAATTTAGCAAAATTGAAAATACATTCCATTTTGATAAATTCTTCTTCTTGTGGACAACGTAGCCGCTTAAGGGTTTCTATATAGCAGGCCAGTCATTTCTGTTCTGTATCAACTAACGCCAATTGTACATAAATGTCAACAAGCCCTTTTTCGCCTAGTCTTTCCAGCGCCGAAGACTTGCTCTTCATTTGCTATAAACATCTCTATCCGCGTTGTATGTTTTCTCTCTATTCGTACGACATTCCCGAGCGAGCGTAGCCACTCTATTTAATTCGCTGCACTATGTCTACATCTTTGAAAAGATTATGCAATTCCTGAGCAGACACAGGCGCCTTCTCCATTAACGTTCTTTAAACGTTCATCGCATGCATCAACAACAGAAGGAGGTCCCATCTGTGGCACGATTGGTCTTTTCACTGGAGCATTGTTTTACGTGATGGACAGCCCACAACTAGAAACAATCCCTTCACTAAAATCGAAGGTTTATGCCAACCTTGCATCTTGAATTTCCTTCAAGAGAGAAATAAACTCATCAACAAATAGCCCATATCTCAAGAGCCTTTCATTTTTTTATTCATATGAATATATGTACTTGATTCTAACAAGGATCGATTCTGAGTACTAAGAAGTACTCAGCACTCAGATACTTGTACTCAGACTAGATACCACTACTAAGAATCGATACTTGTTTTCAAAATCGATACTTGTGCTCAGAATGGATACCAATGCTTAGAGGCAATACCTGTACTCAGAATCGATACTTGTACTCAGTAGCGAGTCGCTACCAGCGATACTTGTACTCAGTATTGATTTTTGCACTAAGAATCGATACTAGTACATAGGTATTATGAGGCTCTATGAACCTTGTAATTAAGAGGAACAATTTTTATATTCAACAGGGACGAATTTGACCGGAAAGGGTTAAGTCCAACACCGATCTATTATATAGGTTAGGCAATATTCGGCATTCAATGAATATGTGTACTCTTTAAGCCCGACATTTTCAACGATTGATAATGGTTGAAAGTCCGAAAAAAAAAACAATTTTAATAGCTTTTGGTTGATGCTGTCTTTTCGTTGCTGTGTGAGAGCAATTTTTTACTGCATAGCTTTAATTGACGCTAAGTTTTTGTGGACAATGGCCAAACACCATCGCTTTCCAATAAATTAATTTGATCTGCCAATCGGGAGTCATTTAAATTAGTTGCAGTTTTATAATTGACTTAATTTACCTGTGATATGAAATTCACCCACAACACTGACTTCATCACCTACTGCCTCAGCCTGAATACTTTCTACAAATACTTCTAAATTATAATTTATTCTAAATATGTATTTGCACATCAAAAAAAAAAAACTTAACCAGAAATTTGTACACCATCTGTCGGTTCCTTGGCCTGCTCTTGCCTGCGTGACTGCAAAAATTGCAGTGGGTGTAATCGCTCTGAGTGCTTTCTTAAGTTTGTAGTATTTCCATTGTGTAAGTAAGTGTAGTATTTCCATTATGTTTTAAACCTTTTTTGCAGATTGTGCATTGCGCTTTGTTCTTTAAATGCGAATAAGACGAAATAAAATAGTTTTGCCATTCCGACTAAAATAAGTTTTGGTACAAAAAATAATCGATTCTTTCCAAAATACCCAATTCTTAAATGAATCGATACCCAAGTACTCGATTCCTGAAAGTACTCGATACTGCCCATCACTATACATTTCACTATGCTTTGTGATAACACAAGCAAAAGCCTTTATCAAAATATTTTAATTAATAACTATCTAAATGCTTTAAATATCATAATATAGTCTAGAAAAATCTGATATAAAACGTATGGTTTTTGCATTATCTTCGAACGCTTGCATATCCTTTATTACAAATGGCTACAAAAAAGTGTATATTAAAAAATTTTCTAATTTACATATGTAATATATATATATATATATATATATATATATATTCCCGCAGATTTAATCCTAGACGGCCGCTGTGGCATAGTAGTTAACAGTGCCCGCTTCCACTCCGCCGGGATTGGGTTCAAGCCCGGGTCAAAGGAACATCGCAAAAATATATAGAAACAATGTTTTTTCTTAACAGCGGTCGTCCCTCGGCCGGTAATGGCGAATGGTAAATTTTTACTGCTAATGTTTTTGGTTATGTTTAATTTTTTGTAAAACTAAGTAATTGAATTAGGTAGGCCGGCAATATGCGGATAATTCGGTATAGGTGCAGCTTTGCGTACAGCATTCATCATAAATGCCTTTAAAGGACCTCTTCTGGCTACGCGAATGACGTATTGATATTAACATATTGAACATTTTAGCTAAAAAAGGATCCACCCTATAGCCGAGGGGAAAACCTCTAAAATTTAGCTCATTCGCTGACGCGTAGTCGTCTTTGGTTGCTACGGTATTTAAATTTAACAAATATAAATTAATACAAGTATAAAGATGAAGAGATGTGGTAGAAAAAGAGCTGCCTGTCGAATTTGAAAATATTACTTACCAAGTGCTGCCTCCATGTCGGAGTCAGAACGCTTTCGGGATGGATTGATTAACAAGACATTATAGCCATTAATGCAGATTAAATCCAATGCTTGAGCCAGACTATGACCGCAAAATTTCTGTTGTGCAACTGTAGCTTGACACAAGAGAGTGGAACTCATAAATAGCCACCAGAATGTTTCAACAGCAGTCGCAGTCATTTGAATTGAAGATTTACACGAAGCTTTCTTACTCTTTACTCCCCTTTTCTACTAAATAATGCCAGCTGCGTATTTGAAGCGTTTCGTAAGACTGCATATTGCATGCGAATACTTTCACGTATTNTACTCTTTACTCCCCTTTTCTACTAAATAATGCCAGCTGCGTATTTGAAGCGTTTCGTAAGACTGCATATTGCATGCGAATACTTTCACGTATTTATAGATAGAGTTAATAAATCGGTTGTTTAACTTTATGCATTTTTGCTTAAAAAGCGTAGGTTACAATTCGAACCCTTTGTTTTTAGTTTGGCATGCAGGTTGTATGTATGTATGTAATGGCTGAAAAGCCTATGGGTGCATTGCGCATTCTCGGTTCATTGCAATGTGAACGCGCAAAAATATGTCAGTGTATTTAAACAGGTAAGCGGATATTTGTGTGAGTGTATTTATATATGCACACATGCATCGAAATTGGAATTTAACACACCTTGACACTTTTCAACGCAGAATCAAGAATGCACAGACACTCCTTTTTTATCACAAAGACAACAATAAGAATGCAAGCCAACCTACCGAGCCACACTGTGAAAATAGCCAGCTAAATATATTTATCTCAATACAAAATTTANAGCGAAAGTTTAAGTGACCGCACAGTACGAACGTTGCCAGATTAATTTATATTTATATATATATTTTAATTTTGTCGGAAAAATATTGACATTCACCTGAACTGGATCGATTTGAAAGTGCCTACAAAGATCGAATTTTTATAAATAAAAATAGTTAAAATTTTTTTTTTCCAAAATATCACCTCGCTTAAACTGTTCTATTATCGAAGGTATTTTTTTTTTAATATATTTATAAACTACTGTAATTATATTTATAAAAACTTAATTTTANTGACACTTTTCAACGCAGAATCAAGAATGCACAGACACTCCTTTTTTATCACAAAGACAACAATAAGAATGCAAGCCAACCTACCGAGCCACACTGTGAAAATAGCCAGCTAAATATATTTATCTCAATACAAAATTTAGTAGCAATAAACATATAATGTAACTCTAGCGAAAAACATATTTGGTTGCCGAAAGTAAACTCTTTTCTCAGTGTATTTATGCACTGATATACATGAATAATTGAATAGAAGTTTGTACGTAAGTACATCGTCAAAAAATTCTGAGCTTTTTCCACCGGAATTATAAAACCTCTTATATTTTAATTTTGTCGGAAAAATATTAACATTCACCTGAACTGGATCGATTTGAAAATGCCTACAAAGATCGAATTTTTATAAATAAAAATAGTTAAAATTTTTTTTTTCCAAAATATCACCTGGCTTAAACTCTTCTATTATCGAAGGTATTTTTTTTTTAAATATATTTAAAAACTACTGTAATTATATTTAAAAAAACTTAATTTTCAGAGGTATTTTCAAAGCGGTCCAGNACATTCACCTGAACTGGATCGATTTGAAAGTGCCTACAAAGATCGAATTTTTATAAATAAAAATAGTTAAAATTTTTTTTTTCCAAAATATCACCTCGCTTAAACTGTTCTATTATCGAAGGTATTTTTTTTTTAATATATTTATAAACTACTGTAATTATATTTATAAAAACTTAATTTTAAGAGGTATTTTCAAAGCGGTCCAGCTTACTTAAATCTTAATATGTTTCCGACGTATTTTGACGGCTGTAATTCCGATGGAAAAACAATTCCGATATGGAGAGTTAGGCAGCGTAATGTATGTCGAAGTATTCAGATGATAACCGTGATCCACTGCGAAGGCTTTAGTTTCTGCATAAAGTTGCAAAAATCTAGGTGCAGTATTGTCTCTCTATTGTGTTCGATTATACTGACCGGGCATTGTTTGTAAACATGATTTTTGTAGAGGACACATTTCCCAATCCATTGGGCATACTTTAGTCATAAGTCTACTGCAACACTGTCGACAATAAAGATTTTTAGTATGTTCCTTTACCCATCAGATGTACATATAGGATTTAGTCACGAAAATTCAGATTTAGTCCGGAAGATATTGCTGAATATATTGTAAATGTGTGTACGAGAACGATTTCTGACTAAATTCTGTAAATCGGGCGGTTAAAGGAGTGCACTAACTAAAAAGAGATATACAAAAAATATATTGTTACTGTGCCTGAATAAGTGGTTGCTGTGGTAAACTATCCTGTTGCTTTAAAAATATCTGAGTCAANTTTTGACGGCTGTAATTCCGATGGAAAAACAATTCCGATATGGAGAGTTATGCAGCGTAATGTATGTCGAAGTATTCAGATGATAACCGTGATCCACTGCGAAGGCTTTAGTTTCTGCAAATAGTTTCAAAAATCTAGGTGCACTGTTGTCTCTCTATTGTGTTCGATTATACTGACCCTGCATTGTCTGTAAACATGATTTTTGTAGAGGATACATTTCCCAATCCATTGGGGATACTTTAGTCATAAAGTCCACTGCAATGCCGTCGACAATAAAGTTTTGTAGTATGTTCTTTTATCCGTCAGATGTACATATAGGATTTAGTCTCGAAAATTCAGATTTAGTCCGGAAGATATTGCTGAATATATTGTAAATGTGTGTACGAGAACGATTTCTGACTAAATTCTGTAAATCGGGCGGTTAAAGGAGTGCACTAACTAAAAAGAGATATACAAAAAATATATTGTTACTGTGCCTGAATAAGTGGTTGCTGATGGTAAAATATCCTGTTGCTTTAAAAATATCTGAGTCATTGAATGTATAACATATGTGTATTACCGTCTAGATAACTCGAAGAAGATG